CCTCTACTCTTATTCAGAGTAGCCAATCATTGAAGCTGATCCGTGGCCACCTGAGACTTCAGACATGCCCCTCAAAACCTTCCCCTGCCTTTTTATTTCAGACAGTTCTCCTTGAACATTCATGGGGGGTCTTCCATGTCTTTCACATTCCTGATTTGTCACTATATTCAGGACACTGGCATATGTTTCACGCTACCCTTATTTATTCATTATGCAGCATAATTTGACATTGAATATCATTTCTCTTTGATAGATTCCCTGGTTGTTCATGGGGGAAATACAGTCTTTATCTAAGACACGTCTTTGGCCTGCTGTCAACTTACAGCCTCCGCTGCAGCCCATTCAGCCATGAGCACATGCTAACTGCCTTCAAAATTAAAATATGCCATGTTTTATAGTTAATCATTGTGTCACCCTCTCACACCAAAAACTTCCAATATGTAGCATAAAATTACAAACTGTTTTACTAGTCTAATGTATGTGTCTGAGATATTTTCACATTAACCAGTTCAGTACTATACTCATTATTCAAGTACATTAGAAGTTCACATTGGCTCCAATCACATCGTGTCTCATATTACACTTCCTTCCTTCCTTAAATATCTGCCAATCTGATATCAGCCTTGTTTCCATTTTGTACCATGGCAAGAGGAGTCCTTGTATTGAAGGTTTTCAAAGTGTACACTTGGCCATGTTCAAAACAATGCTAACAGAGGTACATATCACCATGATCAATTTAATGGACATATCCAGGTATGCATATGTATATATACAAACACATATATGAATATATGTTACATTCATATGTACAAAGCAGCTTTTTATTTTCTTTGATCATCTTTGGTGGTGTCTCCACATCATGTTATTGCATTGTCATCTTGTTTTTTCAGTGGGAATGGGGGTAATTGTTTCTCAAGAGTTTGGGCAAATTTGAGTTCTTATTCTTAATTTGTCACGTAATGCCTGGTTTGGTAAAGTATTCTAAAACAGTCAAGTGGCGATTTCCCTGGCGGTCCAGTGGTTAAGACTTTGGCTTCCATTGCAGGGGGTGTGGGTTCAATCCCTGGTCAGGGAGCTAAGATCCCACATGTCTCATGGCCAAAAAACCAAAACATAAAACAGAAGCAATATTGTAACAAATTCAATAAAGACCTTAAAAATGGTCCACATCAAAAAAAAAA